TATCATTAACTGGAATTTGAAGATGTGATGGTGAAGAGGTCATTCTCTTGTAGTTCTATATTTAAACTGACCACTACTTCGAAAAGTAGAGTATTCTTGTTATATAATGTTAACTGCATAGCCAAAATTTCATTGTACCCCATTTTTGAGGGCAGTATGATATCAATGTAAAAATAAAAAAAATGCAATTTATATAATTTCTAAAATGCAAAATTTGACAAGGTTACATATATTACTATATAAGGTAATTAATTACGATTTATATTACAATGTTAGAATTAAATGTAGGTAATTTAAGGTCTCTAAACCCTTTGTTAGTAAGGGATTAAAGAAATAGTTAACTGACACTAATTATTGGTAAAGTAAATATATATAATATATAAAATTTTACTATAAAATTTTCTTATTATAGTTAACTTTTTAAGTATACTTCTATAAATATATATCATCTTTATATATATTTTAGTTTAATTAATTATTATATAATCTATAGAATTATCTTATATTAATTATACAAATTATATAATATAAATTAATTATACTATTTAATATAAAATCAGAATTTATTAATATATTACTTTGAATTATTATTATTAGTTAATTTTGAAAAATTATTAATTGAATTAAATCTATTATTATTTTAAATTTTCATTATTTTTTTTTTGAATTATTATAAACTAAATAATAAATATTGAAAAAATAAACAAATTAATATTTATTTTTTATTATTAAATTATAAAAATTATTTAAATATACTTTGTGATATATATTTAAATATATTATAATTATTATTAATATTTTATTTAAAGTAATTTGATTATTTAAAACATTTTGAAAAAAAGGAATCTAATAAAAAATTTTTTTACTTTATAAGTTAAATATGATTACTTTAATAAAATAAGTTTAGATTTAATATTAATTCAAAAAAATTTTTTTTAAGAAGATAAATAAATTTTGTTAAAGAACTAAAAATAACAGAATAAGTAAAAAGATACTTAAAAAGAATAAAAAATTAATAACACTAGAATAACAAAAAATAAATTTAAATATAATTAAGAAAGCTATTTATACAAATAAAATAAAATATACTTAACTAAAATAGAAGATTGTAATCACAAGTATTACAATAATACTTTTTAAATAAGGTTAAAAGATTAATAATAAATAGATAATTACATAACAATAAAAAAAAATTTTAATCATCAAAATAGTATATAAGAAAAAGTAATAATTAGATAACAGTATAAAAATTTTATTATTATGCTTTACTTTTCTATAACCAATTCTGTTATTATTTTATTATTATTTTATTTTTAATTTTTTGTATCTTTTAATGATTAAAAATAAGTCATATAATTTGATTGTAATTATTAATTATATTATCATATATTTTTTTTATTTTTTGAATTTCTAAATTATGTCTTATTTAAAAAAAAAAATATATAAATTAGTATCTAGATAATAATTTATTATATTAAAGTTAATATATAAATGTATTACAAAGTATTATTTTATTTACATTATATTTTTATTATTTTTATATTTATATTATTTTTTTATTATTTTTAAAAAATATTTAAAAAATATATAAATGATGAGTAAATTTAATATTTTTTAAAAATATATATTATTTAATTTTGAAAATAAGATAAATTTAATAATTTAAATATATAAAATATTTTTTTTATTAATTTAATTTTACTAAATTAAAAAAAATTCACTATATTTCACGTTTTAACCTTTATTTTGCATAATTAATCTGAATTTTTAATTTTTAAATAATTGATAATCTATCATATTTTGATATTTTTAATAGATCATATTTTTAAAATAAATTTATCATATTTATATTTTTTTACGTAATATTATATATATTTATATTTTAAAAAATTTAATTGATTATTTTAATTAACTATATCTTATTTTATAAAATAGTCTAATATTAAAAAGATTATCAAAAAATTCTCATTTTAAAATTTTATTTTCATTTAGAAAATAAAAATTATATTGTAAATATATAATTATATAAGTTAATTATTAGAAAATCAGATTCTAAAAATTTTTAACAAAGAAAATTGTATTAATCTTTTAATTTTAGTTAAATTTTCTTAGAATCTGATTTTCTTAGAAATTCTTTTATATAGTAATTTTTTTTTTTTGATGTGGCACTGCCAGTAACTTTATTAAATTTATATATAAGGAAATACAAAGTAAATCGAAAATAAATCTAAGCTAAGTACTAGCTATCTCCTATAGTTATATTGCAAACTGGTTTAAATCGACCTATCATTGTCATTTCCTTCCATCAACTCCACTAAGTGCATACTTAATGAAAATTAACATCAGCAAGAAAAGATAAAGAAGATGTTAGTGCTTATCTAAAAATCTGAGAACGCGTAGCCAAATTTGTTCGCAAGGTGTATTCAAGTCTTCCAGTTAAAAGAGGAGCTTGATGTTTGTCTGTGAGGCAGGGGTGAACTGGCACTTCGTTTACGCTTGTCTTGTTTAGTAATGCCTATTGAACGCTCTTTGGCGATTATTAAGTTGCAACAGTATTTTTAGACGTTATCATATAACTTTTAGTGAAAGAGAAGCAGCGAACGTGAAATGATGAAGAGGCATCGCTTTTTATTGCCAGCTATTTTATAAACAATATCTATCAGGGAAAACGAAATTCTGGATTGAATGATGTCTATATAACTATTATAAGTATTTGAAGGTAATGCGAAGGTGTTGCTGAATACATTCTCTAGTTCAGTTTGATGCGCTGTATATCTGGCTCTGTATAAAGAGCTTAACTGTTCAATAAGATCATTTTTGGTAGCCAAGATCGTGTCCATAATTTTTGAGAAGTACAATAGATATGTCCAAATATGGAAAGCAGTTTTAGTAGCAACATTACAATCCACACAAGGCTAGTGTTCATATAAGTCAAGTTGTAATAATGTGAAGCGTAATAGTGAAGGAAGTTCGTCGATGAAGTTTTTAATTATGTATGATTTGAGCTTATATGAAGCAAAAGATATGGAGAAAAAAGAGGTGTTCATCAAAAAAGGTTCCAGATGGCAAACAAATTGATAGATTTATTGACTGTGAGTACTCTGAGTTTATTATTTCTGTTCAAATCCAGAAAGTTGCTAAAAGCTTGTGCGGCAAAGAGTTGCTTGAGAAAACCTCTAATAGAGACCTCAATAGGAATACAGTAGCAATTATAAGTATCCGATCGCCTCTAACTCTGGCTACAAGTAAGTAAATTCAAAAATTTTTTTTTTATTTAAAAAATACATAACTAACTAACTAAAATTAATACATTGTG